GGCCTCGGGGCCCAAGCTACCGACAGGCTCGGAGCCGCGGTTCTATGGACTCCTGACCCCGTGCGCGGCCGGAGCGCGCGGCATTTGCACTTGCGGTCCCCATGCCGGGCGGTGATGTCACCGCGCGAGCGAGGCTCCTAAGACGAGGTGGGGCTAGTGTCACGCAAAGGCTCCGCCCCCGGAGAGCCCCTCGTTTCTCCCGAGCCACGGCCAAGCAGCGGGCTTAATTCCCCCACTCGTGCATATGGACTCCTGACCCCGTGCGCGGCCGGAGCGCGCGGCATTTGCACTTGCGGTCCCCATGCCGGGCGGTGATGTCACCGCGCGAGCGAGGCTCCTAAGACGAGGTGGGGCTAGTGTCACGCAAAGGCTCCGCCCCCGGAGAGCCCCTCGTTTCTCCCGAGCCACGGCCAAGCAGCGGGCTTAATTCCCCCACTCGTGCATGGGGACCAGGGCGCGAACGAACAAAGGGGAACTCCCGAGTTGTTTTCCAACCATCGCAAGCTGTTGGCCTGCAGAAGAACTGCAAGGAGTGTTGCGTACTTTTCTCGCAGTGCTTATTGTCCCTCGCTTTATTTATTCAAGCACCACGTGTGTTTTAGCCTCCCCCCCACCCCCCAACGCTTTGGCACCATGCTCCTTGGTGCAATTCAGACCTGCCTCCATTAAGGGCAGACACATTCTCTCTGCAGCGCATTTTGGACAATGAGAGCAAAATCAATTACGTTCAAGCTTCCCAATGACCGCTGTAGCTCTAACTGTAAACAGTTTTCCAAGAATTATGGCGGGAGTGATTAGACTTACCCCATTCAGTACTTCTCTTTCAATTGTTACAGTTTAGCAATCAATTTCCCTTTTTGTTTCTACCGCTGCATAAACTAGGTACTTTGAATTCAGCAATGCTTCAGGTATCCTATAGTCTTAGAACAAATCTACAATACCACATTAGGTCAACTTAAATTATGTCAACATACAGCCTGCACGTTAATTGAATCAGTTTTACACACCCACTCTATATTTCAGCTTTAGGCCCCCCATTTCAGATTTTGGTGGGAGGGGAACCTGTGCCATGATGGCAGGGGAGAGAATGAAAAATGATCAACTACAGCATAGTGCTCCATAAAGGTGACATTAGAGGACCATGTTGCTGCCCTGCAAATGTCATAAAATAGGACTCCTCTTAGGCCGTAGCAGACGACACCGCTCTGGTAGAATGGGCCTTAGGAAGATACAGTAAAGGTTTGTTACGTATAAAATTACACATAGTTATGCATGAAACTACCAATCTTTAAATGTGCTGAGAAGTCAATGGTTGACCTTTCGAATGGTCCGCTAATGATACTATCAAACGGTCCATTTTCCTAAAGTCCCACGTTCTGTTGATGTAAAATGCCAAAGCTCTCCTTATGTCGAGCGTGTGTAGCATTGCTTCTTGCATTGAAGTATGGGGTTGAGGGAAGAAGTATGGTTCATTAATATGAAAATCAGAAGAGACCTTTGGAATAAACGCTGGGTAGGATCTCAGCAACACTGCTTCTTTAGAAAAGATTGTATAAGGGGGTGAAGCCATGAAGGCCGCTATCTCACTTACCTCAGTTCGTAGAGTAATGGCTAAAAAAAATAAAAGCTTGACAGTATGTATGTGTAGCGGAATTGTTCAAATGGAGGGTGAGTCAAAGTTTCCAAAACTAGGTCCAGATTCCACAAGGGCGGAGGCAGCCTCTGAGGTGGATCGAGGTTTGTGAGCCCTTTCAGAAACCTTTTTGTAGTGGGGTGAGTGAATAAAGAAAAATGCTCATCCATACGGTGAAAAGTGCTAATTGCTGCTAAATGCACCCATAAAGAAGCTACTGCCAGTCCGTTGTCATAGAGCTGTAGGATATAATCCAGTATGTGAGATAAGATTGCAGAGTGAGGGCCTAGATTATTGCTCACACACCATGCCCGGAATCTGGTCCATTTAGCTGTGTACATCACCCATGTAGATTCCTTTCTACTGTGCATTAACACTTGCTTGACCCGTTGTGAACAGAGTTTTTCAGAATCGTTAAAACGACCAGCATCCATGCCATGAGGTGGATCTCGGATGGCTCAGCGATCCGTTGTCCTGGGTCAGGAGATTCGGGAGAAGGGGCAGGGTGTATGGTGCCCTTATCAACATCTGGTAGAGCATTGAATACCATGGTTGGCAAGCCCACGCTGGGGCAATAAGAATTACTCAAGCTTCTTCCATATTGATCTTCTCGAGGATCTTGGGCATTAGAACCACTGGGGGAAAGGCGTACAACAGCAACCTTCCCCAGAGGAGAAGGAAACCATCCCCCAATGAGTGACATCCTATTCCTGCTCTGGAACAATAGGTGGGACACTTTGTGTTGTTTTCCGTTGCAAACAAGTCTATTGTCGAAAACCCCCACCGGGCAAATATATGATTCACAATGTCCGTACAGATCTCCCATTCATGATTGTGGGGAAAATGCCTGCTGAGTGAGTCTGCTATCGAGTTGTTGGCATCTGGTAGATAGGAGACTGTTAAAACAGTGTTTTTGTGGATACACCAGTTCCATAACCGGATGCTCTCCGCACAGAGAGAACGAGATCAGGCGCCTCCTTGCCTATTGATGTAAAACATGATTGCAATGTTGTCTGTTAGGACTCTGGTCATTGTATTCCTTATATGGAACTGAAAATGTTTGCAAGCATGCTGTACTGACCGTAGCTTGAGCTCATTGATATGCAACCGCATTTCCTGTGTAGACCAGCGACCTTGGACCGTAAGGCTGCCCAGGTGTGCTCCCCAGCTGGTAAGAGAAGCATCTGTTGTTACTTGCTTTGTGGGTTGTGGGCGATGGAACGGAATGCCCACCAAGAGGTTGTTTGGCTTGGTCCACCACTGGAGGGACTCTCGTATGTGCTGCAGTACCACTACTGGTCTGTGAACGCTGTGCTTTGCTGGAATGTAAATCGTGGCTAACCAATGTTGGAGGCAGCGAAAATGTAACCTTGCGTTTTGTACCACGATGGTGGAGGCAGCCATGTGGCCCATTAGTTGTAAACAAACTCATGTGGGAATTGTTGGAGCGTGTGTCAGGGTGCGTACAAGATCCTGGATTGCTGCAAAACGTTCCCTCAGTAAGTAAACACGTGCCGCATTTGAGTCGAGTCGTGCTCCTATAAAGATCAGATCCTGAGACAGTACCGTTGATGATTTTTTCACATTTATGAGACGGTCCAGGGATACGAATGTTGGATACTGTAACTACCATTTGACATGCCTCCATATAAGTGCGGCCCCTGACGAGCCAATCGTCTAAATAGGGGAATATCATTACCCCGTCCTGTGTAAGTGGGCTGCTACTACCACTAAGGTTTTGGTGAAAACCCTGGGGGCACAAGCCAGGCCGAACGGTAGTTCCCTGTACTGGAAATGTTCGTCTCCCAGCTGGAATCGGAGAAAGCGTCTGTGTGCCATATGATTAGCAATGTGGAAATAAGCGTCTTGCAAGTCGAGGACTGCAAACCAGTCTCCTTTGTTCAATGACGGAATAATAGTTGTTAAGATCACCATCTTGAAATGATGTTTTTGAAGGTCGCGATTTAATTTTCAAAGGAACAAGATAGGTCTCCATCCTCCTGTCTTCTTTGGGGTGAGAAAGTATTGGGAGTAAAAACTTTTTCCCCAAAACTGCTTGGGCACTCTCTCTATTGCCTCGATCGTGAGCAAGTGCTGAACTTCTTGCTATAGTAGTTTCTCATGAGAAGGGTCCCTGAAAAGGGACGGGATAGATGGGGTGGTAGGGGGAATGGAGAGACCGGACTGCACCACTTCTAGTACCTATTTGTCTGAGGCAGTAGTTCCCAATGCGGTGGTGAAAGAGATTTGTTTTCCACGTTGACTATGGAAACTGTGCTTGCATCCTCGACAGGGAAGTCAAATCTGCTGCTTTGTCGATGATTGATTAGACGAACGGTTTTGTTGGGGCCACTTTCGTTGAGGGCGTTTCTGAAACGCTGATTCTCTAAAGTATGAGGCTGTTGTCTTTGGAAATTGTAATCATATCTTCATTGATAACAGTAGTAGCGTCTATGCCTAAAGGGAGGCGTGACATTCCCAGTGTACGTAGGATGGGCCGAGAATCTTTGCCCAAATGAAGGACTTTTTATGTGTTTGCCGCGAAAAGTTTATGCTTGTCAAAGGGTAGATCTTCGACCTTGCTTTGAAGCTCTCTTGGGGCTCCTGCAGAAGAAAGCCATGAGTATCTTCTCATGGCAATACCTGTAGCAGTGGCTCAAAGTGCAGTGCTACATGATGCATAGCCTTCATGCACTATTGCCTTTAGCAGTGGTTTCTTAGTGTCTGGGAGATGTTGTACTAACTCTGCTAGTTTTGAATAAATTATCGAAATTATGGTTTGATAGCTGAGCAGAATAATTTGCAATGCGTAACAGAAGTGTGGCGGAAGAATAAACCTTTCTACCAAATATATCTAATTTTTTATTGTCCTTATCTGGAAGTGCGCTTACAAAGTGTGTTTTTGTATTGCAGCGCTTTAGCTCTACGTTGCACTGCATCAACTACAATAGAATTAGGTTGGGGGTGATTGAATAGAAAATCCAACCCCTTAGCAGGCACGAAGTATTTTCTATCGGTCTTTTTACTTGTAGGTGTAACCAATGTTGGGGTCTGCCATATCTCATCCGCCACTTCCATAATCGCTTCATCAATCGGTAAGGCGATCTTCGCACGCTGTTGTGGGCAGAGATTCTTTAGGAGATGGTGCTTTTTGATCGGGACATCTGCCAACTGTATTTCTTGTGTGCTTGCTACCCTTTTAAACAGGTCCTGAAATTGCTTCAGGTCGTCTGATGGAGATATGTCGCCTGGGAATACCGCCTCATCCGGTGATAAAGAGGAACAGTCAGAGAAGTCTCCGGCTTAGGGTCTTCTGTTTCAGACAGCTGCCCCTCTTCTCGTTTGGATTGGTCATGCTGAATGGTTGGACTCTTCGATGGAGGAGGTGAGTGAAACTGTTGAGATTGTTGAGGTAAGTATTGCACACTTAGTGATCAACAGTTGCAGGAAGATCCCCTATAAGATAATGGAGTGTGGTCGTGATGGGAATGACCATTGTAGGACCTATGATAGTGCCTGTAGTATTGTTCTGAACGCGATGGGGAGGGCTGACGTGAGGGCAGTGTACTACTATGTCGTATGTAATAGACGCGACAGAGAGCATTAAGTGGATCCGTGCTTCGATGATCGTCCAGGTGAACAAGATTGTAAGCAGGACCGTCGTGCTTCTAGATACAGACAATGCAATTATAGAGACACAGTGTATGTGACATGGATGGGAGAAACACGATACCATAGTACCACTGATGCCTTGGCGGAAAGGGGGACGGTCCCGGAGAAAAAATTGGAGAGACAGACCTCTCTCTTGCATGAGTTTTTGGCAGTGCTTTCCTAGGTGCTGAAGCACTGTCAGCTTCTATGGCAACTGGGGAGCTCGGTGCCAGGAGATTAGCTGCACCTGTGGTGTTGCCAGTGCCAGCAGCATGCCCGGTGCCAGTGTTGCTGCCGGTGCCGATGGTGCTGGGGCTGGCACGGCAAGTTCCCATGCTGCAGGGGTCGGTGCCACTGAAGCCGGTGCCGGCTGGCTTGTCAGTTGCGGCACCAGTGGTGATGTTAGTGCCGAGGTAACCCATACTCTCGGTGGCGATAGTGACCCCCTTGTGCTAGGGCCCGCAGAGTGTCGGGACCCCACGGTGCTCACTTTGGAGATTGCTGGCTTTTTTGAAGTTGCCGACGGGAGGGAGTACATTGGAGACGGCTTCATCTTCTTTGAAACGACCAGCCCCCGGGAGAAGCCACTCTCCGCTTGTGATTGGAGAACTGGGTAATGGCTGCGGCAGGCATGCTGTCAGGTTGCAATGCCTTGCCAAACATTAACATCTTCATCCTCATTTCCCGCTTCTTCCGAGCTCTGGTCATGAGCTTGCAACAGTGGGTGCACTTCTGTGGGATATGTGATTCGCCCAGGCACCAAATGTAAACGTCATGGCCATCAGAAGCTGGCATGGCTTCACTGCAGAGTGAACACTTTTTAAAACTGGGGGCCCCGGCCTTGTCAAGGGGCCGGTAAAGGTGGCTGAGTACCGACCCTCTATTTAGTCCCCATCTTCTGCTGCTTGGGGTGTTTGGTTTTTTTTTGGGTCAGTTTCAGGTTTTGTTTTGGTTTTTTTGGTTTGGTTGTGTGTGTTTTTGTTTTAAACGATTAGCCGTACTGGCTTCCTAAGTAATTCTGAAGAGAAAAAAAAGTTTTTTTTTCTTTTTTGAACAAGAGATAACTAAGAGGAACACAGTTAACAAGAAAACTCTTAACGATTTACAGATGGAGATAAACTAAAGATCATTCTCTGAAAGAGAAACTAGAAGAACAAAGGGAGCTCCGACCGCGACCAGAGGCGGTTGAGAGGAACTGAGCGGTTGCTGGACTCTGTGTGGGTGATCAAAGACGCGAACGGCACTCCAGAGAAGCCGCACGTACACGGTCCAGCGGAGCACGGCTATGACAGCTCTCCTAGCCACGGCGCTGGGACAGGACCTGACACCAGGAGTGGAGCACCCACGGAGACCACTCGAAGAACAACTGTAAAATAAAGCGGACACAGACTCCGAAGCAGGGAAGTGGGTGGGAAGTGGAGCATCTATGGGGACCATCTCAAGGAACGACAGTTACTGCACCAAGGTGAGTAACTTCGCTTTCTTCGAGGAGTCCCCATGGGTGCTCCACTGTAGGTGTCTGCACAGCAGTGTCCCCCTCCCCGCATATCATCGAGGTAGGTGGGATTCAGAGCCTATCGATTGGCCAATGAAAGAACTGCAGCTGTTACAGATTTATCTGACAGCCATCTGTGCTGTAAAGCATAATGTTCTGCGAGGGTGTGATAGGATACCCACATGGCTGACCTACAGATGTCTGCAAGGGGAACCCCTCTAAGAAAGGCAGTGGAAGTTGAAATGGCCATTGTAGAGTGAGCTCTAGGGCGCTCGGGGAGCAGTATTCCCTGACTAGCATAGCAGTGGGTTAAGCTTGACACGATTAAGTTAGCTACTCTTTAGACAGAAATAGACTGACCCTTGGAGCATTCAGCTAGGGACAGGAGAAGTCTGTCTGTCTTTCAAAATGGCTTGGTGCGGTCAATGTAAAAGGTTAGAGCTCTATGTACATCTAGTGTGTGGAGAGCGGCTTCCTTAGCGGATGCGTGTGGTTTAGGGTAGTATGCAGGTACTACTATAGTCTCGTTAACATGAAATTCAGAACAGACCCTGGGTATGAAGGCTGGGTGGTCTCTGAGGACAACACCGTCCATCTGGAAGATGGTGTACAGTGGTACCGCCATCAACACCGAGAGCTCACTGACTCTACACGCTGAGGTGATCGCAAGCAGGAATACCAACTTTTGGGTCAGGAGCTGTAGTGGTATTGTGGCCAACGGTTGAAATGGTGGGGCCTAAGGGTCTGCAGTACCAAGTCCAAATCCCAAGCAGAGGTGGGGTGCGCAAGGGCGGGTTCAAATTAGTTAGGCCCTTGATGAATTTCTTTATGAGGGGATGTGCAAATATGGAAAATCCCTCTGTTGGTTGTCGGAAAGCCGCTATTTCCACAAGATGTACTTTGAGTGATGCTAACACGAGCCCCGTTTGTTGAAGGACCATTACGTAGTCGAGAATGGTATGAATAGGAGCAAGTGTTGGGTCAATGTGGTGGTCTGAGCACAAAGCTGTAAACCTTAACTCAGTGGTACCCAACCTTTCGGGGCTGCCGGACGCCCGGGAGCAGGGCCATGAACGTGCCCGGGGGAGGGGCCACCCATATGCTGCGCGCCTGGTGCTGGCACCACCCATGCGCTACACTCCCGGGGCCAGCGCTGCTCCTGTGCCACGCACCCAGGGGTGGGGCTGCCCATGCGCCGGGGCTGGAACAGCCCATGTGCCGCATGCCCAGGGCCGGTGCCACCACTGTGCTGCGTTGCCCAGGGGCCGGCACCGCCCATGTGCCATATGCAACGGGCACCCACGGGCGGGGCCACCCAAACACCGTGCACCCAGGGGCGGGGCCACCCAAACACCGCGCACCCAGGAGCCAGCGCCGCCCCTGCAGTGTACAATGAGGAAGTAGTGGGAGTAGAACCCTTTCCCTCTGAAATCATGTGGTACTGCTTCTATCACGCTGATCTGCAGCAGATGGTGTATCTCTGACCTGAGCAGGTCTTCGTGAGAGGGGTCCCTGAAAGGGATGGGTTTGGGGGGATTGTAGGTGGGATGAAGAGGAAGGGTATGGAGTTGCCAGTTCTTCTTATCTCTAGCACCCATTTGTCACTGGTGATGCCTGCCCAATAGTGATAAAATAGGCATAGCCGGTGGTGAAACAGCAGGGTGGTAATGGGTGAGACTGGTTGAATGCTCCTGACCAAGGAGTCAAACCTGCTGCCTGGCATTAGGTTGGTTTTGTGGGCGGCTGTTTTGATTCCTTAGTCTTGGAGGCCATTGACGCTGGTGGAAACTATCTAGTGGTCTGTGTTGTTGCTGCCTTGGTTGTCTTTGATGGTAGTAGTCATAATGCCTCTGAAATGGTGTATACTGATGCCTTTTAAATGGTGTAGTATACATCTCCAGTGTCCTCAGTGTGGACCTGGTGTCTTTGCTGGAGTGCAGTAGCATATCAGTTTTCTCCGCAAAGAGGTTATCTTTTTCAAAGGGTAGGTAATCCACTTTTGATTGTCGGTCCTTAGGGACTGCTGCTGTCTGGAGGAATGAGGCCCTCCTCATGACCACTGCGGTGGCTGTGGCTCTGGCTGCAGTGTCAGCTACATCAGCTGCTCTTTGTAAGCTGTTTCTAGTTAAGGCATATCCTTCCTAGACCAGAGCCTTCAGAATGGGTGTCTTAAACTCAGGTAGAGACTCCATCAGGGTCATGAATTTTGAGTAATTCTCAAAGTTATGATGAGATAAGTGTGCCAAATAATTGGCTATATGAAGGAGTGTCTCAGATGTATACACCTTCCTTCCAAACAAATCTAACCTCTTTGAATCTTTGTCCGAGATTTGGTTTCTGTATTGTGGTGCCCAAGCTCGTTGTCATGCCACATCAACAACCAAGGAATTGGGGAGCGGGTGAGTAAACAGGAATTCTGTCCCCTTGGCGGGACAACGTATTTCTTGTCTGCTTTCTTATCAGTAGGTGGAATGGATGCTGGGGTTTGCCACAACTCGTTAGCGACTTCCAATATAGCCTCATCCAGGGGAATAGCCAGTTTAGGAGCATGGGACGTCTCTAGGTTCTTGAAGAGACGGTGGTGCTTAGTCTTGATCTCTGTGAGCTGGATCTCTTGAGAGCACGCTACCGTTTTGAAAAGCTCCTGAAATTGCCTGAGATCATCCGGGGGTGAGATGTCACCTGGTATTGCCTCATCCGGCGAGGATGATGATGGATCTGCAGGGGATGTCTCAGGCTGCTGTGAGTCTCCCAAGGAGTGCTGCTCTTCTTCAGCTTGAGGGTGGAGGGGGAGTGGCGACAGCGAGCTACGTGCCGAGTGAGATGGGTCAGCCACAGGTGAATAGCTGAGGGAAGAGTCACACATTCTCGCCCGAAGCAGTGATCTGGATGATTGGTGATGGGCACAGTGATATGGAGAGTCGGATCTATAGTAGGTACAGCTGTCATATGGATCCCTATAGTAGTAAGAGTAACGGGATGGTGAGTGGTCATAGCGATGAGACCTGCTGTAAGGTCTCCTATAGGGATGGTTAGGTGATCAAGAGGATAGCAAGGGAGAGTAAGACCTCCGAGGCAATGGAGAGGGAGAGACAGAGAAGCGATGTTGATGTTCCCCCTGGTAGCGGTGCTCCTTTGGTGGTGTTAGAAATGGAGGTGGCAGACATTCCGTGGAGGGAAATTTCCTAGGTGGCGACCTCTTAGGTGACTGGGGTGGCAGTCTTGAGGAGGGTTCTGGAGAAAACGTAGGAGAAGGGCAGCATGGAGATGGGCTCTGGTGTTGTGGTGTCTTAGCCGTAGCCTTTCTAGGCTGCACTAATTTCGGTGCCAGGATCGGCACCGGGCTGTCCGGTCTAGCGGGAGGAGTAGTGGGCACCGGCACCTTCCTCAGCGCTTACGTCAGTGCCGAAGGGATCAACTGATCTTTGGAATGGGTTGGTACCGTGGGTGGCTCGAGTGGAAATCAGTACCTCCCTGGGGGTCGGTGCCGGCCGTGTGGGCATGGCTCTAGTGGAACTTGTCGGTCCTGACAGTGCCAACGTGCTGCTAGCAGAATTTGACGGTGCCATAGATGTCAGTGCTAATGAGTGGCGTACAGTCGGCACCAAAGGTCTGGATTTCACCATTTTTGGCAGTGCCGACCGGACTTTAGAGAGGCCTGAAATGCCTGGTTTTGTCCCAACACAATCTGCTGTGCGAAGTGGCAGGCAAAGAGCGGGTCGGAGACGGTTTGGTCTTTTGTGGCAGCTGAAAATACCCTCCGTTTTGGTGGCTCCGCTAAGGGCCACACGGGAAGGCTGATCCCTGAGGCTGCAGGGCTTTATCAAATAGGATCATCCTGAGCCTCATCTCCCTGTCACATCTAGCTCTAGCTGTAAGCTTAGAGCATTTGTGTGGAACATGGCCCTCCCCTAGACAACGAATGCAGCAGGAGTGGCCATTCAAGATGGGCATGGCCTCACAGCATACTTCACATTTTTTAAAACCTGGTGAGCTAGGCATAGCGATAACAGCCGTTTAACTGTCCCTTTTCTTTAAAAAAAAATTATATATACATATAAATAAAAAAAAACAAGGGAGAGTCAATAAACTGGGACTTTCAAAGAAGGTAAGAATCTTTAAAAACTAACTACTTAACACTGCTAAGTTCAACTTGAGAAAGGGTTGTTTTTTTTTAAAAAAAAAACATTAAGAGAATAGGAATGGGAACAAGGTAGGTAAAACTGTTTAACAAGAACAAGCTTGCATTCCTCGCAAGTGAAGGGATCCAGGGAGAAGAGGTTCGCTCCATCTGCAGCCTGAGGCAGTTGAAGAGGAACTGGCTCAGACCAGACCAAGCAGTGCGAAAGGGCATGAACGCCACAAGACGCTCCCCATGCATGCACAGTACGGCCGGACTACTGCTGCGAAAAGTCTCCGTCCTGCGGCGCCAGGGCAAACCCAGCACCTACAGTGGAGCACCTATGGGGACTCCTCGAACAAGAACTCCACTTATTAGACAGAGACATGTAATAGTTATGAGGAATTCAATTAATAGGAGCTGCAGGAGGGGTGTCTGCAGTCAAGGACAGCATGGGGAGACCCCCTACTCTGCCTCTCTCAGGGGCTGCCAGCCACTTCTAGTAGCACCAATTACCATAGGGATAATTACTCCAGCAACAATGGGTTAGGTATTTTAGAACTCTGCTCAAAAAATTAAATTTAAACAAAAGTGAAAAGTATGAAATGCACAGCTCAGTCAAAAACCGAAAATAACCCACTTTGCAAGCAGTAAAAAAAAGCAATAACCCCCACGTGTTGGGTTGGGAGTTGAGAGTGAAGGATAATGTGTGTCTGAGAATGAGAGAGCTATAGACTGTGTAAATGACAGATTTGCATTGCCAAGCTCCCTGCATCCCCTTCTGTGTGGAGACAAGGTACAGAAGTGGGGGGAGGAAGGACACATTGACATCAGCACACACCCTCTTCTCCCTCCCACACACTGCACAGCAAGCAGGAGGCTGCGGGGGCTGGGGAAGAAGAGGCAGCTTGAAGGCAACGGGGCAACTGCAGTGCCAGTACTTGATAGCTTCCTAGCCAAATCAGTCAGGATCATCTGTCAGGCTCCAAGATCTACTGGTTGACCACTGCAGTAACCTATCATTTGAATCAGCTTCTGTACATAATTATTTTTACACAGATAAGCCTACTGCTTACTAGGTAACAAGTGAAGAGATTAACTAGTTACCTGGTAAGCAGTAGGCTTGTAAGCCTGCATACCTGGTAACCAGTTAACTAGCCCTGACTGAGCAGCCCCCTGCAGCAGGTTAGAGCAGCTCTTAGCCCCTAGCATAGTGATTCAACCAGTTAATTAAAATTATATTGTTTAACTGGTTAACTATTTTAATGAGTTTTACAGCACCAATTCAAAATTAATCCTGACACATGCACCTCAAAGTTCCAAAACAAATTGTGACCAAAGGAAAGCAAGTAGCTGAGTCATTTTGTCAAGAGGTTTGAGACATTGTCTCCTTAGTATGAGCTACACATTTTTTATTTTTTTTTGCCAATTAGATAGTGAGGAGTTGGTAGTGGTAGAAGCGGTTGGGAGGGTGCAGTTTAGGGATTGTCCCCACAGTCAATTCTCACCTCCTTGAGCTATACTGTAGAAGAGTTAACAACCCTTAGAACAAGGAAGTATCCACACAGCATTTGAAAACTGGGTTCATGACTGTTCAAAGCACTGGAGAACTGGATTTTAAAAAAAAAGTTTTAATGACTCAATGACAAATAAGGGCTCCTTGTCATAAGCCATAAAGCAGGTTTACTGATAAATGCCTTGTAGAAGAAAGACAATAGCATAACTAATGAATGTGCTAGAGATATGAAAGATTGAGTGGTCAGTTATTGCTGTTCCATGAGTTTAATCTAAATTCTATACTTTTGATAGCTTTCTGGATTTGAAATAAATGTAGCATCCACTTTAAATTAGTATACAAAATTTTATGTATGGATACCAAAAAGACAAAGTAGCATGCACACAATTTTCAAGTGAGATTGCTGAGTATTTTATAGACTAACATACAATTTCACATCCTTGAAAGATTAAAAAAATCATACAACCGTAACAAGCATTTTTCATTCAGTATTGCCAAAAATTGCAATAGGAAGTAGGCACATCTTGTTTGAAAAAACTGTCCATTTCTTACAACATACAATGGTAATCAACTGACAAAGTAAATATTTTATTTCAATGTCAAGTCATACAAGGAACATGGTCTCTGAAATATTGCACCACAAAGATGGACTTTTTACCACCTTACCAGTGTAAGTTACATTATCTGTGGACAAATAGATTTATCCATGCCTTATGAACAATTACAATAAAAATGCAAGAATACAAGGGGCTTTTCCATGTAGAGCAAGGTTGGGGAAAAATCTAAAAAGCCGTTTTCAGTATTCCCTTTGAAAGTATTAAAGATGTAGTACAGTAAGAACTCTGTAACAGTCCCACTATATTTTGCAGTGAAACAATTTTTTTTAATAGCCTTTTTTAAAAAGGTCAGCTTTTGGTCTTCATTATAGGAGTAATAGGAAGGTCTCATGAAGAAAACAGTTAAACACCAAGATCTGAAGTGTAAGAAAAAAAAGTAATGAAACAAATGAAGCTGGAATCAAATAGGTAAATAGTCCTACTTCCTTCACTACCCCTTTTTTAAAAAAAAAATAAAAATCAATCCAATGAGAAAGCTTTAGGCCAGCAAAACTGATTCAGCATACCAATAAAATGTATTTTATTTAGAACTATGCATTCTGCCAGAAATATATGTTAAACTTCATACACCAAGACAAAGTAAAAACATGGCTGCCTTAAAGCACAAGAGCTGGAAAAGTATTAAAAAATTGAAAACTGTATGCACTTTGACATTTTGTGTGTGTTCAGCATTACAAAGTATTTGCAAACCAAAACAGATACTGGTTGTAAGGACTTAATTTAACACATATAATGAGACAGTTTAAGTGTTCCCAAAGAGGAAATACTGCAATAAAAATCTGTGCATTTATTATGCTATTTGTACAAGTGCAATGTTTAACCATTTCAAAAATAAAACAGTATAGACAAAAGGGATCACAATAACTTATTGAACAGATGTATCAGAATTATTTTGTCAAGACTAATATATTTTAAAAAGCTGAATTTGTGATTGGTCCCCCATGCTAACATTTACATTTTGTCAGCAGTATAAACCCAGAGCATCATCCTTAAACAAAAATACAGCCTTACATTTTGAAATACAGTAGTGTAATCCTGCCTTGTAGGGACCATGTGTGACACCTCTGAAGAGTGGGAGAGCTGAAGTTGAAACTTGCACCCAGTTACTGGGATAGACCATGCAACTCCCAAATTCATAACGTTAGGACACAGCAGATCTTGGGGCTTAAGCAGCTGCGGGTTTCTTCAAACTCAGTGCATATTAGAAACACTTATGAACTTCTAAAGTTAGATAACTCAGATTACTGTAGTACTACATACAATGATAAACAATTCTTACTATGCATGTCTTTAGCAGTTCACTGTGGATGAATCCTTGAAAAACTGAACTCACTACAAATAGATAAACATTTAAAGTATTTTCATAATGTGTTTGTGCTATGATTTCTCTAATACTCCATTTTTTTAAATCAAATTTATTAAAAACTGGAGCAGGCCTGGTAAGCTTAGAAGCATTAACCTATTCATGCCAATTTTGTCAATATCTGTGATTGTTAAATTCACTGGAATATTAACACTCAAGTTGATGTGCTTTTATTAGCATTGATTGATCAATTAGTTTGTTAATTTTAGAATCGTTTAATTAAAAACAGCAAGATGTGCTATAAAAATGACTTGGGCATCCTATTCTAGATAAATAGCTCCAACTGCAAAAGGAGTTCTATACATTCCTATAGCTGACCCAGCATAGGATATCAAGAACACTGATTGTTTGAGAATAAACTCAGTGTAAGATTCTGGAAAAAGCACACTCACAGGCCTAAGGAACAGAATCCTAACCCCCTTAGCAGCATGCAAGGAGCTGCTCCACTGCTGCTACTCTAAGACGGGCTAGTGAATCTGTACAGTTCATGAACCCACTGAAAGCCTTTCCCTCTTGTGGAACATTGTTACATGGTGCATAGACACAGAAGAATCTCCTCTGCATGAGCCTTCTCAAAATCTTGTGGCAAGGGACAAGATTCATGGATCTATTTCAGACCACAGGATTTCATCTTTAGTGCTTACAGAGTATTCAAATGCATGAAAAATTAAGTTTTTACTCTCCAACATATACACAATCAAAATCTATCAAAGTTATTAAAAAGTTATGATTTTTGCTTAAAATATTCACCCAACTTGCCTATTTACTGCCAATTTTAAGTGGGATGAACACTACAGCAGCTTGAATGCGTTCCTGGTAATAGACAACTGAATAGTATACTGAAATGGGGCACAACTTCAGAGTGTGCCCAACAAGTTACCTTCATAGCCCACTGGGCTAGCAGCGAACACTCATCTACACTGCAACAAAATTATCACCAGCATAAAGACACAGAAAAAGGTCTTTATGGTTAACAGTAATGTTCTATGAAGCCTAATGTGCACTCAGTGTAAAACCTTGAGAACTTCCCAAAAGGCCTGTAATTTATTGTACCTGTATTATACTACTGAGTAGTGGATGTAATCGTAACTCCCTTTAGCTTCAATGTATTAGAGGTCTAACTGCTTTTAATCATGTTTCAATCCCTGTGCAAACTGCATTATGTGGCTAGTCTTCAGCGCCTTTGTTAATTGTAACTTGATTATAATTGGAAGCATTTGACTATGATTTAGGCATGCTTATTGCTATAAAAGAAATAAGCCAATCTTTAAAATTATTGTGCAAGTATTTTAATAAGATTTGCACACATCTCAAAAAATTCTATGGTGTGACTCCCTGGTCTTGGGGTTAAATCAGCTGAAGAAGAGTCAAGTGAAGATGTCACTGATGAGGTAAGAGACATATCTGCAGATTTTCCTTGTGCATCACCATCAGTCTCCTTCTGACAAGATCTATAGTTGCTCACAGAACCTGACCTCTGGGGCGTGGTAGTTCCAGATTTTGCTTCAATAATTTCATCTAGAGAAAAGGACAAAAAAGAAAAGTTTAAAAAAAAAATTTCAAGGGCAAATGGAACCACCAAGCACTAAGCTGAGAATCTGGAGATTCTCTCCCCTCCCTTTTAAAACCTCTTTCAAAAGGTAATCTTGTTTTCTACTTATTTACACAGCATTTGAATGCATATGTTACACAAATCAAAATATGTACAGCAACAAATCCATGTAATTTTTCCACATGGTTAAAAACAGATGTTTAGCATTCAAGTTACTCTGAAAAACGTGTACGCACAGGTTATCAAATTAGCTATAGAAATCAAGGGCAGTAATCCTGTAGTCCATTCAACTGCTCAAATTAGTTTACAAAGTATGTTTCCATGAAGTTATCCTTTATCGAAAACAATTTTTGAATACAAGATTAAATATTTAAATTTCACACCACTGAACTTGTCCCTCACTTTGTATTTGACAGATCAGTTTATGAAGTTAAGATGGAATTCCATTTTGTTTTAACAAGATCTTAATATTTTTGGAATGTCAGACTTAGTCCACAAGTCACAGATCAATTTTACAAACACATATGGTCAATTCCCATCAGGTATACACAGGAATAAGCGTATACATATAGATTAGAAATGCAGCTTTTTTTTTTTAAAGCAAATCCTCAAACAAAAGTTTTGCTGAAAGTGACACCAATATTTTTGTTCCAATATTTTAAAGCTATAACACTATACACTAGCTCAAAGCCAAGACCACCACCCACCCTTTCACAAAGTCTACCTTCAAAATTTTGCAGGATCCCTCTCCTGAGCCCTCCTGGCATATGCAGACACTCTACAGCATAAGCCACCTTTAAACAATATATATGTTTGTGTCTCTTCTATAAACCCTTTTCCTTGCTGTACCATCCTATACACTTGCCATGTAAGATGAACTATGCATCAGTCACTGTAGCCAGACAGAAACCCCATCTTGTTCCCCCCCACAACCTCCCCCAGAGAGCAAGAGAAAGGCAGTCAGCCTTTGATGCCCTGGGAACACAGGTGTGCTGCCTGTCCCTGACTCTACCATAAACAGAACCCAGACAGTAAATGAGCTAGCTGACGACCCGGGGCCTCCCGTTGCCCTGATGGCTAGTACCAGTAATTGACACGCCTGCACTGTCCCACGAGAGGAATCTTCGCCCATCACATACCAGAGGTGCCCATTGTCTGCATTTTCCCAGGTGTGAATTATGCTTTGCACCCTTCGTGGGAAACTTGGCATCCAAAGCCATTTTTCCTAATTGGCCACTTGAGACCAGGAAGAAGCCTACGTGACCCAAGGGGCATGAAGAGGGGTTTAGTAGCCCACCCCATTTGAGCTCCAATCATCTATACCTGCTGGCAGGTATTGATTGTCTCCCGAGGTCTGTGGGATGCCCAACCTCACCCTACTTCTTCCCGAGGGACTGAAAGACGCTGACCATGCCAAGTCTGGAACGCCGGGGTGAGAATTATACCCGCTAGGTGTCTATTTGCATGCATTTAATAAGAGCTCAGAGAACCAAAAGGGTTTCATGGTACCTATAAGTGACTACTTAGTGTAACTTCTGTCCTGTCCTTTGTAGTGGCTGTGTTATCTGTAACAGTAGTAGCATTTAACAACTAAGTTTACCCTGTAACAATAAAATAGTAACTGTTTAAGCTTCAACCTGACTCCTTCAGTTGCTGTAACAGAACCAAGCACAATTTTAAAAGAACTTCAGCCGGTAATAAGGGACAGATATAGGGAGAGCATGGGTGTTTTGGATCGTGTCACTTCCAGGGGACAGATCCGTTGGGGTACCCTCTCAGCCTCCCCAGGCTGCCCGCTGCGAAGGGAATTCTGTATCCTAGCAGCTAAAAATCTGAGGTGTTATAAGCTCTCCCTGTAAACTCATTGGGGCGCCCGTCAACGTCCTCCGGGTTGCCCGCTGCAAGGGACCCCGGTCTCAGCAGTTGAAGTCTCAGGTGTATAACACACACGCACACACTGCCCTGACCGTCGGCTGACAGTCACACAGACATCCTTCTCCAATTCAAACTTCTTTTCAGTCTGCTGCACCATCCTCCTGTCTATCAACAGGGTGCATTCCTACAGTCCTGAATAATATCCACATTTTGCTTTTAATGTGGTCCCCAAATGTCCATCATTATAGCTAATGTAGCCACATGGAACAAATTCAGAGACAGACCACCTTACCTTTATCCTAACTTAACTCCCACACATAGAACTATGAGCTGCAGATAAATATCTCAACCTAAACAGACTGACTGCACATTCTATTTGTCTATTGTTAACTATTTCAGAAGTTTTAGTAATAGCAGACAGATATATATCATATATATTACATGAGTGGAAGAGTATGGGACAACTTTGTGTTCTTAGTTTTGCCAGGCTATTGTCACTAGGAAACATGTTAACCTGAAGTAAAATACTAGGGGAGACCAGGCAGATTATAGTTAACAGGTCCAGGTAAAGACTAATCTTCCCCATTGTCTTTGTTTTGACCTGCCAACTCACATGAAAACTGCAACTGTCTGTTAAGATTTTACTTCAGAATTAGCTAACAAATTAAGCCAACCCATACCTTTCTTTCATAAAGAAGACAAAGCCCAAGGTATTTATGGCTTTCCAAACCACATTTCTAATGGATATTTAGTGTGAAAAAAATCACAATCAGACTAAGGATGTTAAATATCGACTAATTGACTGACCAAATAGTGAATGCATTTTGCACTGACTATTTGATTAGTCTATAGGGTGATTCCACCTTTGAAAAGTAACAGCAGCTTTAGGGCTATTGCTACACTTAAAAGGCGAAAGCACCGCATGGAGCCTGGGATCAGCTGCAGACTCCAGCTGATCCTGAGTCCCACTCGGTGCTGCCACTTTGAAACGCCGGGAGGAACCTGACACCGTGCTCCCCGTGGCATTTCAAAGTGGCAGCATCGCATGCAGCCCGGGATCAGAAGAGGAGTCCCCAGCTGATCCCGCACTCCATGCAGCGCTGCCACTTTGAAATGTCACATGCAGCCTGTGGACACCACAGCTGGTCCCTGGCTGCATGCAGCGTTTCAAAGTGGCAACGCCATGTGAAGCTTGGGATCTGGCCCCAGGCTTCAAGTGGCGCTGCCGCTTTGAAGTCCCCCCTCCTCTTCGCCCCCTCCCCCCTGGCTGCCTCTTTCTGATAGAGTTAACAAAGGTGGAGGGGGAGGGAGGAAGAAGATCAACTAGTCGACTAGCATGTCGACTATCTGATAAGCATTTGCTTATTGGATAGTCAACTAGTCCTTCACATCCCTAGAGCAGACAACAGTTTTTTCTTTTTTTTTTTTTTTGGAATAAATGCATAACTATTAAAGCAATGTAATTATTTTCCGTCACATACCATCAATGCTACGGAAGTCCAGTAAGTATGTCCTACTGTCCACCTGGTATAATTGTAAACTCATTTTAGAATATGTACTAGTCACTGGATTCTTCCTTCGAACACGCAAATAGTATGAATTTACAACCTGGTAGAGGATACAGATGAAATAGTTAATTTCCATTATAATTTTTAGCAAGAGAATGACAAATGTAAGCAAGCACTTAAATCCTCTAAAGTAAGGTATCATCTTAGTGTTTTAAGCAAAACACAATCATCTGTCAGAAACCCCTGAGTTCCCTCACCTTCCATTCATAATCCAGTTGTTTAATTGCTCGACAAACTTCTGCCATGATGTCATTTGGGCGACTTTGACTCCGAATTCCTAAGTGCCACTTAGCTCTTCTTACACCTTGGTGTTTTGACTTTTGTGGATTGAGCTCATCAAGTGTGTGGCGTGGCCGAGGTACTTCAGCTACTAAAAATGGCACTCTTTCAGGATGAGGGCGAGACAAATGGTGATCATCAAGAAAAGAATCTGGTGGGCTTGTTGCCAGATAGAAGTCTTTGGCCTCATTCATAATTCTTCTGTTATCTATAATAAGATGATAGGCAACTGCTAAGGGGTCTTGATGATTTCGGCTATATAAACAGTTTAGCACCTCCTCTTCTGTACATTCAAACTTCTCACACACCTCTTTTAAGGCTTCATCATCAATCATAGTTGAGCTATATGATGGATCTTCAGGAAAGAGATACTTGGGGAGGTCCTGCTTGAACCACTCATGCTCCCTAGATGTAAAAATAAGTAGTTTTTAATACAACCACAAAGATTTTATGCAAACCTTAAGGAAACCCAATCAGTTAAAGACAAACTTTATTAATAAATTAAATTTAGTAAAGCATCTGAATAGTCTCAGGGGGCAGCCGTGTTAGTCTGTAACTTTAAAAATAAGTAGTCCTGTAGCACCTTAGAGAGTAATAAAAATATACAGGAAGTATCATGAGCTTTTATGGGGAAAGTGGGTTTTGCCCATGAAAGCTCACGATACTGTCTACGTATCTGTTAGTCCCTAAGGTGCTACAGGACTACTAGTTTTTAAAGTATTTCAGTTTTCCTAAAAAGGAAAATTGTTGATGTCAAGATGCTCATTAGGTACCATTACTAGTAAATCTGAAAAATCTGCTTTATTTTAGTCAGTTCAACACCAGAAAAAGAGGCGTATTTTTAAAAAAAGTGCTGGTACATATCAGGCAAATTATAGATGTAATTGACAGAGGGGGTAGAGGTTGATACTCTAGCAACACTGAACTACAATTTGCTTTGTCTATACTCTAGGTAAAAAAGTTAGACACAGCCTTAACATTTTAACTCTATTACCCCAAGTGAACCACAATCCAGTAGATTGTTTATTGTTATCAAACAATTGACAAACGTCACAAAATTCTTGTTTTTGGAATTTTCAGCCTAATTTTAACAAAGTTTATTGTTGCTGGTTATCAAGCATTAGATGTCCCCTTCTCCTTCCAAATAAGAACTGAACCAATAACAGACTATTTGATCCATAGGTTTAATCCCACCACCCCCAAAAAAGTTTGACCCAAAACAATTTTTTTAAACACCTGAAACACAGAAAAAACAAAAAAGTCAGCTACATTTTGAAACAAAAATCAAAGTATTTTGTTTTGAAATAGTTGAAAAAGACCCAAACCACTGATTTGCAAAAAAGTATCCAATTTCTTTGCCAAAAGTATTGGTTGAATTTGACTCAGTCTGCTCCAATCCCAAAAGTCACATACTATTTGTATATATCGAATAACCCACTTGATGGGTGTTAGGACAGGCATTGGTAGATATAACAAAACTGGATTTTTGACTGTTAGCCATTGTTCATTTTAATCTGTATTCAAAAGACACCTGCTCTCACTGCCCCCAAAGTTAGTAGAATGAGCTGCCAAGGAAAGGGTAAGAAAAGTCTGTTAAGGCTGTAACTTTTTGGTACTGTCTGGTATTAAGTTTTGTTCTTGTATGTTGGTCAACAGTTTACATTTCAAAACACAATAAAAAGTTAAAATACAGCAGAAACCTTATTTTTCAAAGTTCTGCTCCACTGGAAAATACAAAAAGCAACAGATTTGTCACTTCAGTGCACTGAGCTAGCTATATAAGAACAGTCCGGTGTTCTGTCATTAAACTTGGATAAACAAGAATTTTGCAGTGATTTAATTTGGAGTCAAGTCTAAGAAAATGTTACAATCTTCATCTAAAAATATGAAAATATAACTGGACTGCTAGTTAAGGAAACTAATAGTTTTAGTTTGCAATTTGTCCTGTACAAGGAGTGGAAGGCACTTGTTTAAGCAACAGATCTAGTCCTACCCTACTACAAACTTTCCAGACTAGGGATGTTAAATTTAATTTAATCAACTAGTCGGTAAGTGGGGAGCCACAGCAGGGTTAGCTTCCGGCCCTGGGAGCCAACCCCACCATGGCTCTACCTTTTAAATGTATTAAGAGCCAGTAGGCTCTTAATACATGTAAGAGGCTGAAGCACAGAGAGGAGGACCAGGCACGAGCCGGGACAGCTGAATCGCAGCTTGACTCGGTATGCTCTTAATATATTTAAAAAGCAGAGACGCAGTGCCCAGACCCCGCTACTCCCTTGCCTCCCGCAGAGACAGTGCTGGGGGGAGATGGCTTTTAAGCTGGCTCCCTCCAGCACCAGCTCCTGCTCCCCTGCTGCCTCTGATAGAGGCAGCAAGAGTGGGGGGAGGAAAGCAAGTAGTTGAGAGACTAGTCTACTATCCAATAAGCCTATACTTATCGGATAGTCAGCTCGTCTCTTTACATCTTACCCCAGACACCTTCACCACACCACTTGGCTTATGTGTACCTATTAAAAAACATCCGTAAGATTAGTATGCCATTCACCTACTCTATTATAAGGTTTAGCACTCATAAAGCACTTTGATATATTCTGATGGAAGGTGCAAGAAAAGTTATATTACCCACTAACATTAACATCTATCTTTAGGTCTCTTCCTGTCCTAATTCTAGTTTTTAGCAGGATTTTTTTTTCCTGGAAAGAATCAATACAGACACTTACATTTCTTGAACTACAATACCTTCTACCTATTAGTTATAAAAATTCTAGTCATAAGCACATTTTGTCATTTGGAACTTGGACAACTCTGGTTCCAAAAGATAAAACTAACACATTTACTAACTCAGTAACAGTGGATTGTATGGGAGAGGAATTTGTATGAACTATTTCTTAGTTATGTTTTTTTAGACTGGGACCATTACTATGACATCTGTGATTAGACATCAATTAGTGTTTTACCTAATGTCTCTGACTGTAGCTCTCTTCATGGGATCCACCTGCAGCATGTGCTTCAGAAGGCTAATCACAGATGGATTCAGATATTGAGGGGTATAAAATATACCATCACATATCTTCTTAAAAAGCGTTGGCACATGATCATCATCAAATGGAAGGGTTCCACATAACAAGGCATAGAGAATAACCCCACTGCTCCAAATATCTACTTCTGGACCTGCATATAATCTGGAAAAAGTTATCTGTTAATAAGTTAAAGAAGTGTAGTACATTTAAATAGATATCTTTTTGCAGCTTGAATTTTAGCAGTTGAAGGCACTCAGAAAATGGAGGCCTACCAGCCCTGGGCAGGCATGGTATGCACATGACTGTGGAGCTGAACTCCACTCGACAGAGCAGAATTATGAACTATGTAATTTACCATAGTTCTAAACTGAGTGAAGGCTATATTAGAATGACAAGGCAGATGTATGTAAATGTGTTTCAAAAATCATAATCAAAGCACAAAAATCATAACCATAACCAAGCCACAAAAATCATTCTGGGAGCTAGAAAATTAGGAGTTTAATACTGATGAAGAGTAACAATTTTGAGTAAATGTTCATGTTTCATTGTCCCATTTAATAATAAATCAGGTGCCTAGATTATGCTCAGCAATAGTAACTAGTGCAGTGAGGTAAAAGCTAGTGGGTTGCCTAGTGTAAGCTAGGGGACACACCAAGGGTATGTTTATCATGCAGTTGGAGACAATTTTCAGTAGGGTGGGCACTATATATTTATGCTAGCTTTAATCTAGCTAGTTTGTAAAAATAGCATTGAAGATGCTGCAACAGCATGGGATTCAGTTTGAGGTGTAAAAGTTCGTACAGTCCAACATTGCTAGCGAGCACAGCTGTGTCTTCAATACAGCTTTTTAGCAAGCTAGTTAGATTATAGCCAGCATCAGTATACCTACACAAGCCGCAAGTGACACATCTAACTGCATTCTTGTGTTGACTTAGAGCTTGTCCACACAGCAGGGCTAAACTCGAAATAAGCTATGCAACTTGCTAATTGCATAGCTGAAGTCAAAATAGCTTATTTTGACTTTTGGTGCTGTCTACACAGCAGTTATTTCGAGATAGAGCACTCTTCCCACGACTTCCCTTACTCCTCATACAATAAAGGTTACAGGAGTCAGAGTAAGCAGTCCTCCAGCTCAACGTTATTTTGACATTGTGTCAAAATAACTGCTTGGGAGTAGACATGGAATGCTATTTCAGAATAACATCAGGTTTTCCAAATTAATGCTGCTGTGTAGACATAGCCTAACCGTATCGTAGGATTTAATAGTTACATGACTGAGTTAAAATAGGGAATGTTACAACTGAATAAAATTGAAAGTTACACCAGAATAAAAATTTGCACTAGTACCAAATGTAACTGCCTGGAACTTTTCTATCTCTTCACCTGAAAAAAAAAAAAAGTGCTACTCCAAATTGTGTACTGTGATACTTTAGGTCAGTGGTTCTCCAACTAATTTTAATTAAACCCACTGACTGATTTGGTCTTTTTTTGTGTGACTCACCATGACATATACACCCCTTATCTTCTATCAACTCTACTTCCAGCTAGCTGTGGAGAGGCGGCCTGGGGGAGTTGGAGATCAAGCCCAACACACATTTACCCAGCAGTGGCAGCTCTTGCCACACATAAGGCTGCATCTATTTCTAGTTGCAGAATCACTTATATTTGACCCATCTGCTCCCTTTCCCATGACAAAGGGGAAGCCAGGACAAACCAGAATACTACTATGACTGCACTGGAGCAAAAAAGCTGGGCCAGCTCTCCAGCACAAAACCTGCTGCTGCAGGGTGAATGTGGGAGGAGCTCACTATCCATCTTCCCTAGTCCTTCCCTCCAACACCACAAGAAGAGTAGGTGTTTGCCTAAATCAGGACCCACTGATGGGGTTTAAAAAAAAAAAATCTTGGACTTGGTGACCCATCCAAGACCTTCCTATGATCACCTGTGGAGATGGAACCCACCGTTTTGCAAAATACTGTACTAAAAAGACCATTTTGGCAATTCTGGAAAGAGACAGTTTATAACATTCACTGTACATTAATTTTCTAATTGGCAAAACTGCATTTTTACCACACTGCAGTTTGGACTTCTTGATACAGTACAGTGAAACTGAAGAAGCCAATAAAGCTTACTAGGCCACTAATCAATATATAGGTAAGCTTCAAACGCTAGAAAAGGTGGGGAAGGCAACATTTTTCAACTCTGAATTTTATACTATCATATTGTCTTGTCTTTAATATTAAATAGCGAAGTATTTTTCAACCACATGCATGTGCTTATAAAATAGAAGAGATACTACCTTCCTGAAATTACTTCTGGTGCAGCATAGTTAGGGGAACCACAGCTTGTTCTTAAAAACTCTCCATCTGACATCATATTTGAAAGACCTGAAAGTGCACAAAAGCAGCTACTAAAAAATTCAGCTGGAGAAATCTGATTACACACCGTATGCACAACTTAATCCAGCCACTAATGCTAATAATAGTATATTACAATTTGCTTTTTCTTAAATTGTGGAGTCATCTGTTTAGAATTACTGAAATATGTACAGAAACAGAATACAGTTTAAGATGCTGCATAGAGCACACCAGAAGTCTTACTGAACTGATACTGAAGAGGGCACGTGTCAAAACTAAAGACATGTTGCACATGATCCAGGCATGTCTGAGAGAATACATTCATTCTAAGATACAGCAAGAAAGTGTTTCAAGTTACCCAACACATGGCTGAGTTTTAAGGTATAATAGTAAGGTGGGACTTGGGCAAGAGAAAGCATTCTTAAATGTGACTGCTTCCAAATTCTTCAAGTGGAAAACTACCACAGAACAGTACAAGGAATAGCTTCTATAAGATTCAGTAGCAGCTTTTTAAAGAACAGTATAGTGATTACCTACAGCAGGAGATGGCCATCTCTCTGAACATCCGCTGGACAATTGCAGGCTACAGTTTGGATAGATCTGAGTGTTCTAGCTATGGCTGTCTATATTAATGCAATATTCCTTTTTTTGATTCTGAAGTGATATGAAAGAGTGCCTCAATCAAGCTTTCATACTTATTAAACAAGCAGTTTCTTTACACATACTCTTGTTTAGTTAAATAAGTTTAACAGCTTTGCTAAAATATATGCATAGTAAGAAAGCCATTTTAACAACTTGTTTTGCGTAACAGAATAAGTCATTTTTCATCTAAAAGCATTCTGCATACAAAGTAATGTCATTAACAGGACTCCCAATCCCCAATGTATTTGAACACCATACCTTTGAAATAATTGAATACTTAGCATTTATATAGCACCTTTCATCAGAGATCTCAAAGCGCTTTACAAGGGCAGGTATAATCCACTATGTCTACAAGAGAAATACCAGGATTATGTAGCAATATGGATACCTTTCTATGTTTATATGGCATGAAGGTTTCCTAATGCTGCCAGTCCTGAAAATTAACTGCCACTCTCTGTGTAGTTGTATTTTGTGCTCTTTTATAAAAAGTCTGTACAAGAACTATACCCCTCATTCCCTTGGCAAAACACACTATATACAGCAAGTGCAAGAATTAATAAGTTAGTTCCTCTTATCTTTCATGATCTTAAATTTTAGTTTTAGTCTGTCAACAACATCAGGGAAGATCTTTTTCCTTGTTTTACTTCTAAGTTAAGTTTATAGTAAGATATGAAAAGTAGTACTTACTAGCACTAAGTGCTATACTATCACGAATGCATTTCATTAGAATGATGTGCTTATCAAGTTTGTTTAACTGTCCTTGTGGGTCAGAAGACGTTAGAATTATTAAAATAAAAGGTAGACAGTTGTCCTAATTGTGCAAGTGGAGAAGTTAAGGAACTTACCAAAGATCAATCTTGGAATAAATGGAATTACATGTATTAAATGCAAAATAAAATGTAATATTTTGTTAGTGATAGTTTTGTTCTACCAGACCAAGCCAGACGATTAATTTCTAACTAATCACAGAAATATCTGGCTCAAAGATGGCCTGTAAGGAAAAGAGAATTATGCACTAGATGATCTAGTATCTCGAGGACACTCCTGAGGCTCTTGTACTGTAGCCCATTACCATTGTATTCATGTATCAGAATTCCAATAGTCAAATATTTCCTGCATTAATAAATAGCATCCGATGCAACTTGATCAAGTTTAGAATTTAAAAAAAAGCTCACCAAAATCAGCTATCTTGGCATTCATGTGTGCATCAAGCAGTACATTTTCAGGTTTCAAGTCTCTATGTACAACCATATGCCTGTGACAGTAATCCACACCAGAAAGGATTTGCTGGAATAAACGTCTACTTTCCTTCTCATCAAGCTAAGAAAGTGAAAAAAGCCATTTAAAACATCTGTCCAAATTTTGTCTTGATTCAGCAACGCATAAGTATAATTTGTATTAGATTTCCATGCAAGTCATTCTTTGTCATTCCATGTCAGTATTTTGATGTAGGGACACTTTACAGATAAAGTAACAGATGGAAAGAACCAAGTAACCAATTTTGTGGCAGAGCCACCCGAACCCAGAATGAATTTCTCTAGCCCACAATGCCTTAAACTGAATACTTTTAAGGAACATTATCCACAGATTCAATTACAAAGTCAAAACTTGCTTATTTCAGTCAATTTCAGAAGGATGGCTGTCAAATGTGTTATATATTAGGAATGAATATCTTTAGAGCTCACCTAGTCACTATTTTTGTTTATGTAGAAGAGAGTTAATATTTCAATCTGATATACAGGCAGTCCCCGGGTTACGTACAAGATAGGGACTGTAGGTTTGTTCTTAAGTTGAATTTGTATGTAAGTCGGAACTGGTACATATTGTAGGGGAAACTCTAGCCAAACATTTTTTTTAGTTTTGGATAGCATAGGGAAAGGTTAACTCCCCTCTAATGTTTGTTTTGCTGTCTGTTCCCCTGTTCAGAAGATTTCACATCTATTTCTGTCCCTGTGACAAACTCAGGACTAAAGGAGTAACTCATCAAATACCAAACAGCTCTGCACCATGCTTTGAGCTAATAGCTTTATTTCCACACACCACCCAGGGTTCTAGGAGGAGGGTCCTTTTTTTGCTAACACAATGAGGCCAGCACTTTGTTTGTTTTGGTGGAGTCTTTGTTTGCCCAGGGAGCCCAGCATGTATAGGGGGAGGAGGGGCGGAGAGGCTGCTTTTGTCTGCTGTTCGGCAGCCTGTTGCTCAGGGGAGGGGGCAGCGGGCGTGGGGAGGCACTTTTCCTCTGCCCGGCAGCTCTGCAGGATCCCTGTCCCTGTGGCCAGCTGCTGCAGGCAGAGGCCAGTTGGAGCCGGCCGAAGAGGAGGAGGAGGTGGATTCTAGGACCCAGGTGAGCGAGCCCCGGGGACGCTGCTGCGCTCCGGGAGCCCGGCATGTATAGAGGGGAGGAGGGGCAGAGAGGCTGCTTTTGTCTGTTCAGCAGCCTGTTGCTCAGGGGAGGGGGCAGCCTGTTGCTGGCAGGGGGGGGGACTTTTTCTCTGCCCGGCA